AGTTGAATTGATTCTGGTTCAACTCCGAATGGTGCGCACGTACGTAATTAAGTTTTGTAAAATGTTTATGGAAATGCTTATAAAAAGTTGCTTCCACAAAATTAAGATATGAACAAACGATATTATCTACATTAAGAAAGAAGGTGTGGACCTAGCCTCACTATAACAACCCGTCCCCAATAATTATGATCTTTATAATTTTAATAAGTGAATTTACAAGAATGCCCTTCGAGGCAAAGTGTTGACCTTTGTTGACCGTCGTGTTGTGTCACGTAAGGTTCATTTTCTTCGCATATCTTCATAGTACTCATCGCTATGGACGCATGGGCGCAAAGGGAGCACAATTTGAAGTTATAACGAGAGAGTTATTAACGTTTAAAATTAGGGAAATTATTGTAAATTTGGCCTTCATTAGAAGGCTCCAGATTTCTAGAGCAAATATAGGTCAAGCCACGTGTGTGGCTGGGATGGAAGGAAGAAAGTAAGGGATGGCTGGGATAAGAAGAAGATGAGAGAAAGGAGGAAAGGGAATGACCAATTAGAAAGAGGAACAAGGAGAGAATGGAGGAAAACAAAAAAACATAAAAATAAAAAATAAAAAATAAAAAAAAACCACCCTTTCTTCTTGGACCCGTGCCCATGGCACCCAAACCGTTCGGCCGGGGCGATTCATGCCAAATTAACTGTTAGGAAATACTCTATGACCTTCCCTCTATCAATTACAAACCAAAATTTATGGAGTTTGGCTTTGAATTGATGAAAACCACACCCATGGGCGCGACGAAACCGTGTCTTCAATCCTCCAAATCTGAAATGATTTTATCCAATTACCTCCACCAAAATACTTCCCAAGATGGTTGGAACAAAGCCCAAACAAGTTTTGGAGCATCGGGTTCGATTTGAGGACGAATTGGAGAACACCCACATACAGGGTTCCGACGGGTTTGTGGTGCTTTGAGGTGTTTCCCGGCCAAATTGGCCTTAGTCATAGGTATGAAAGTCGCTCCACTCATTGAGATCTTCATTTTTGTGAAATTTGAGTTTTTTTAGAAATAGTTGGATTTTCCGTGCGGGTCGGAATGGCCGACCACCGCTGGCGGCGGCGCATGCGGTGGCGCATGACCAGTGGTCCGCCAATGTCATTTTACGTTAAATCAATATCTTGATTTTAGATTTGATGTCCATATGTTCTGACTCTATTATGTGAACCTAGTTTGATTAAGGTGCATTAATGGGTAAAAATATGAAATGATGATCCGACCGTGGGATCGTCACCAAACTTTAATATGTTATAGTACATAATATTTGAGAATCATAGGGACTAATGGATCGGGAATCCGATATACGGATCTTCCCGAATTGGAATTGTAAGTTAATAAAATAAAACGTTAACCGCTAATCAGTTTTGGAAATTAGCGGAGATCCGATCGTTCGATCGAAATGAAATTTTAGTATGTTATTCTAGAAACATAATGTGGATCTTTGGAAGTTGCGGATTGGAAATTTGATATGCGGATCTTCCGGATCGAGTTATACAGGGTTGTGGACCCTACCGTTGATCTTTGATCGACGGTTGACTTGTGGTCAATGAGTCTCAAACTATTTTAGAATATCCTTGAGGGTGTGCGTTATGCGAATTATTTATTCTATTGATAAGAGTTTTGAGATGTGATTCCATAATTGTTATAGGCGCCAATCGTTCGGGACGCTTCGATGTGCGTGCTAGTGAATTATAGTGTGGACTCTACGTGAGTGGATCTTTTCCTTCTTATCATATGTATATAATTGATAGTTCCGCAAACGTTTCTAAATTGATTTATGTATGTCGCATGCAAATAATTAATGTGAACTACGAATGACTTGATCCCTGTTTAGGGTACGTAGGCAGTTTAACGAGACGTTGAATGCTTCCATATAATAAATGAGACTAAATAATTGGGACAATAGCCTTGTTGGGGAATTGAGCAATGTGAGGGAGATCGGTGAAAAATGTGAGATTTAACCTTATGTTTTGGTGGTGAAATGTTGGTTATAAATCAATGTTTGAAGAATCGAGAAATTGAAGTAAGGAAACGTAAGTAATGATAGTTAATTAAACTAGTGTCTAGTTGAGCTTATCACCGATAATTATTCCCAAAACTAAGTAGTTTAGAAGTGGGGCGTTACAGATTAAGCATTTCACGCTATGTTATATTATATATATTTGGAAGCACTATGAAATGTTTGGGTTTAGATTGTATCATGGCATATTCATACGTATATTACCTGAATCTAATTATTATGAATGCTTTGAAGTGCCAAACGACGTTGTGGACACTCAGGTAAGATTCAGGTAAGTACACTTTGATGATAATGATGGTAGTGAGTACGATTGTGTTAAGATATGTTAGAGCTCATAAACCTGCACCTTGGTGTTAGTGCTCCCGCCCGTGGTCAAGGCTTAGCCTTCACGTGATCACTCACCTTCCGTACCACACGCTCACCTTAGATCCAAGGTAGGTGCCAGCCTGTCGTACAGACCACATTAGGTGGTTCCGACTCGTGTGCAGGAATTGATTGATGAGCTATATGTGCTAGCAATGGTTGATGAGATATGTGTGTAAACACGAAAAATTCCTGAAACAAGAGACAAGAATACGTGTACAAAATATATTTTTTTGTATTAATGATTTTGGGGTTACAATCTCTTTGCAATTTGGTCCTCTGATTCTATCTTCGTAGGGTGTGGGTTTGTGGATGAGTTGTTGATCCAAAGGGCCGTCGGGGCTTGATCTAAGGATGAACAGTTGATGAATGGATCTTCAAGGGGCGTTGGGCTTGATCTTGAAGAATGGGTGTATGAGTTTGTTGAGGTTGTTGATCCAAAAGGGCCGTTGGGGCTTGATCTTAGGATGAACGGATGATGAGCGATGAACACTTTCTTCAAGGGCCGTCGGGGCTTGATCTTGAGTTGGTGGGAGTTCTTCAAGGGCCGTTGGGGCTTGATCTTGAATTGGTTGGAGTTCTTCAAGGGCCGTCGGGGCTTGATCTTGAAGGTTGATGGATGAGCGGATCTTCAAGGGCTTCTGGGCTTAATCTTGAAGGTTGATTGGATGTGTGGATTTGTTGAGGTTGTTGATCCAAAGGGCCGTCAGGGCTTGATCTAAGGATGAACGGATGATGAATGAATCTTCAAGGGCCGTTGGGGTTTGATCTTGAAGGATGAACGGATGATGAACGATGAACGAAGAGTACTTTCTTGATTCTTCGGGATTTGCTTGAGAGCTTTTAGAGTTTCAAGGCTTCTTCCTTTCTTCCTTTCTTTCTTTCTTCCTTCTTTTTTTTTTCTTCCTTCCAAAATGAATGCCTTGGCCTCCTATTTATAGAATTCCAAAACTTGATTTTTGGATTTAAATAATCAGATGAAATAAATCATTTCTGCAAGGTATTGACACGTGTCATATTTGATGACTTTTCCAATTTATTTCGATTTTTCGTTGAATCACACGCTACATGTAAAATTTATGTGACACGTGAACGTTGAAATTTTAATTATTGGTCAACATTCATTTCATCGAAATTTTGATGTCTACAATGTGATGAGATATGGATAAGTCGTACTGGTCACTATAGGTGACTCTGACTTATATGTGCTAGCAATGATTGATGAGATATGTGATGAGATATGGATAAGTCGTACATGTCACTATAGGTGATTCTGACTTATATGCTAGCATTGATTGATGAGATATTGATTTCGCCGTACAGGTCACGTGAGGTGACTCCAGCTAACATGTCGATGAGATATATATGTTTATTGAGATCTATGGCATGATATTCATGTGGACTTTGTTATGCCGTGTATGGGATTGAGATATGTATTCTATTTTCTGGGAAATTATACAGGTGTTATGGCGAGGGGCTACTGCCTTTGGTAATTGAAATTGGTTTTAAAAGTTTTGTTTCACTCACTCACATTTTCTATTTTTGTACCCCTCCAGGTTCTAACAACAGAGTTCCGTATCGACGAGGATTCGTGGCACTTTTTAGTACAGATGTCTTCTTATGATGGTATAATAATGATCTTATCTTACTGTACTATACTTATGCTCTGTATCACGCGTGAAATGGGTCCAGACCCGCTCACCGCGCACTCGTGTACTTAACCACTTTTAGATTTTCATTTATTTACATTTATTACATAATCACACTCATGGCTTCATCACCTTCCAGGTGTCGGCCAAAATTCCAACTGCACATGGACAGAGTCTGCAACAAAATTAAGACACTTATTTTGTCATACCAGCACACGGTAAAACAAATGAGAAATGAAAAGCTAGGGTTGTATGGACCTTGAACATACCACATCACCAGACCCTTGCAGAAAACATATGTGAAAGAAACCATATGTATTTGTATTACCTTTATCTCACTTTTGGTTCCATCGTATTTTCAAGTTCTGGCATATGACATCACAGGGAGATTGTGAAGGCTAAACCAAGTTTGGATGCTAGTTAAGCAAGCCAGGAAAGTCCAGGGGCCACTGAAATGATGGTAAAAGAATCGAGATATTCAGGTCTTCCACTTCGATTCGTAGTGATTTAGCATGTCAGCTGTGATATATGTCAGTTTTAGGAACCAAGTCAGTGTTAATCTCTTTAAAGAGATAAGCCACCTCCTTATCAGTGCCCACCGACTGACCTAAGCTTCTTTACATCTTCTTCATGATCAATGAGTGCACCAAGGAAGCTGATGTAAGAGGTGACGTCAAAATCATTGTGGAAACCGGGACATATTTCATATGCTATTTGAGTCGATATTATAATATATATATATATATATATATATATATATATATTTTACTCTAATCTTAGTAATAATTTATTAGTTATTATGTGTGAATTTTGATACTTTGAATTATCTTTAATATTAGAAAGCCAGAAGAAGAGTTTGGTTTCTTAAAGCTTCACAAAAAATAATTGGACTATAAAGCCCCTCAAACAAAAAAAGCCATAACTAGCTGAAAATAATACAAACAAAATAACAGGGATAATTTTGTCATAAAAAAATAAATTAACAAAATAGTAGAAGCAGTTTCTTCCCACTACCTTGCGAGAAGAACACGCGTAATGGAAGGAAACTGCAGTTTTCTTCCAACCGTACCAGCAACCGCACTAGCAGAAATACAAAGGAGTTTTCTTCCCACTAATTCACTCAGAACCAGCCGCACCAGCAACTTTCATGTAAGCTTCGATCTTCCTCTCACTCTGTCTCAGTTACCCATTTGTTGTTCATCTGGATCCTGCTTTGATTAAGCTATTTGTGACTGAAACTGTCGCCTTCATTGCCATCTTCTCCAGGTACCCAACTTCCTAGGGTTCATTTATGGGTTTTTTTTTTTCTGTCATTAATTTGGAATGGTGACTATCTTACGCAATGGGTGAGATTGGGCATCTACAGAGCCACGTAAAATCCCCAAGTCCAGTTCTGATTTTTCACTCTTTTCATTTTCTTTGTTCCTTGCAGATTCGTGAAAATGATTGGGACTACAGTGTCGAAGCTTTGAAAATTTCCTCATTAGTTGCTTGGACTTTTGATTAGCATATATTTCGATTCTCACTTTTCTCGGAGATTACATCTACTTCAAGTCCCATGTCCCTCTTCATAAGATCCCAGTACGTTTCTTTTCACCTCCATTTCTCCATTACCCTTTCGAATTTCTCCTTTTTTTTTTTTTTTTTTTTTTTTTTTCTGATTTTGTTCTTGGGGTTTGATTCTTTAGTTTGATTTTACTGCTGGATTTTTTGTTCTTTTGGGTTTAGTCTCACCTTTTTATAAAACCCAATTGTATGATAGTTCCTATGTTTGTGCATAGTTTTGTATTTCGACTGTATTATGATATGGGTTTTTTTTCTAATTTGCTCAATTGTGAGTTGAGGTTCTGCATGTGCAGCTTCTTATGTATGTACCCTTTTTTAGCTGTAAAGCTACATGATTAATCAATTTTAGGTCTGTTGATAAGCAGGTTTCTGCTTATTTTTGTTTTCTTATTGATAATTGGGTTTACATTTGAAATACTGTGTATGTTTACATTGAAATATTGTGTATGTAGATTGGTATGAATTAGTGGCCATACTATTTCAGTGTTTGTTGGGGATGAGAGTGGAATCATAAACCGAATAGCAGGAGTTTTCGCCACGAGAGGTTACAATATCGAGTCTCTTGCTGTTGGTTTGAACAAGGACAAGGCTCTCTTTACCATAGTTGTGTCTGGGACTGAAAAGGTGTTGAGGCAGGTTGTTGAATAGCTCAACAAGTTGGTGAATGTGATAAAGGTTAGTGGACGTCTTTAGTATTTCGTGTAAAACCTTTTGGTAGTTTCTGCATTATCTTCACTTATAATTCTGCTTTTATCAGGTCGAAGACATCTCAAGGGAGCCACAAGTAGAACGTGAACTGATGCTTATCAAACTTAATGCATATCCAAGTATCTGTGCAGAGGTAAAATTTTCGATCATCCAACCAATATTTGGATAATCGTTCTAATATGTTTAAATGATCCACCCCTAAGAATAATCATCAGTAATATGTGGTTTTAATTCATCTGTATAATCATGTATAGCTAATTTTAAAATGTAATTTTCGCCAGTTATACATCATGTTGCATTCTATTGTATATCTGTGTTTTCGGCCCTCTATTGCGTGTGTACTAGGCTGTTGTTGTGCTCTGCATTGGTTATGTATTGTAGGCTTTGCTGGTGTGATGACCTTGGATTTATATTTGTCATTCTTAATTTGGTTAGATGGTAGACAATCGCACAACATGTTTAATATTTACTTTGAATGCCAAATGCAAACCTAAAAGCCTTTATCATCCCAAATGTACGAAATATTTAAGTCTGTTTAAATATGCCTCCAAAATTTTGTTCTTTCTTATTTTATTGTGTTTTTTTTTTTTTTTCTCAGTTCTGGATTTCAACATATCAAGTATGGAGAGAATTCATAGAAGCAATATGTCAGAGGTTTTTACCTTATTTGCATTATTCCTCTTCTGTATAGATGATTTATTTTTTCTTCTTTTCAAAAATAAAATAAAATAAAATTCATTCTCTTTGGCAATTTCTCAATGTAGGTCGACAATGAAGAAGTTCACTTCAGACAAACAAATGTTCACAATTCTCAGCAGCCAGACCAAAGGTATCGTAGGAGCAATCAACAAAGACAAAGACGACAATCTATGAACTCATCACAGCGGGCTCGAATTTCAATGCGACAATGTGCCAATTATCAAACCCGATTGAACTCAGTAAATATAGTACAAAATGAAACGGAAGTAAACCAAGAAGACATAGGACATCAGCGGGTAAATATGATTTCTACTTTTTTTGTCTCTAATAATTATATATTTGTAAATCCATACATTGTATGAATATTTTTGTGCGAACTATTAAGACACATCCATTAAGATTGAACGAATAGTGATTTTAGGTTGGAGTTTGTACATTTCTATGTCGAATGTAATATGCGTTTGTTGATATCTTTTACAATGCGTTTGTTGATATCTTTTAAATCCTTCCATTGTAACGGTTAATTGAGAATTACTGTGAATTTTGGAAATGTTATAGGATAGGAATCGAGCAACTTTAGTGAGACAGGTCTGATTTGTGGGATACGGGTTGGGATGAATTGGTGGCATTTGTACACAACAGCAATCATGTTGAACGACTCAAAACAGTGCCATTTGGAGAAGGTAGCAGTAATCAAGTTCCAAGAACAATGCGCTTAACTCATATAAGGCAAATTGCCTGATCGAATAGGGCACACTTGCCTCAGGGTGGACTTATTCAAAGTTTTACTAATAATGGTAATCGCACAAACTACCTTAGTACAACTTTGAAAAAGATAAAAATCAATATCATCATTACTTGAAACACCAATTATTACCTTACCTCTATTTGATTTCATTATAACAGAAAACACAACAAGGCAATCATTCCGTTCGAATACTCCAATGAATCATTCTTATCCACCCATCATCAATGAAGGTACCAATTTTTGAATATTAATACCTACAAATTCAACTATGCTCGCTAAATCATAAAACACCTTTAATGTTTCCTTTTGAAGCAGGTGATTTTAATCTCATTAATGAAAGGTCATGATTGGAGGAGATTTTCGACAAGTTCTTCTAGTTGTTCCAAAAAGTACAAGGTTTGAATTGATGCTTCATTTTGGGAACACGTATAAATTATTCATCTTAGGCAGAACATGAGATCCATCAATGATCAAAATTTTTAAGCGTTCTTACTTCATGTCGGTAATGGGGAACAAGAAACTATGATAGACAACATGATGCAATTACCATCATCTATGGTCATTCCATGGAATGGTGAAGAATCAATTGTCCAATTGGTTAATGAAGTTTTCTCCGATTTGGAATGTCATGTATGTGATGCAAGATACTTGGTGGAAAGAGCAATTATAACTCCAAAAAATGAGGATGCTAACAAACTCAATAAAATGATCATTGATAAATTTCTGGGGACTGAACATATCTTATACTCTTTCAATTCAATTGAGGACAATGTGAGAAATTTGTATCAACAAGAGTTCTTGAATTCAATCTCAACTGGTGGCATGCCCCCTCATCAGTTAACTTTGAAAAAAGGTGCCCCGACAATGCTTTTGAGAAATATTCATCCGAAGATGGGGTTGTGCAATGGTACAAGACTGGCTTGCCATGGAGCTTACAATAATCTAAGTGATGCCGAAATCTTATCTGGACAATTTGCTGGAACTAGAATGTTTTTACCAAAAATCTCTTTAAAGACCACAGAAAGTGCAGGAATCCCATTTCAAATGATGAGAAAGCAGTTTCCAGTGAAGTTGAGTTTTGCACTAACCATAATTAAATCACAAGGGCAGACAATACCAAATATGGGTATTTACCTACTAGATCACGTATTCAGTCATGAACAATTGTATGTGGCTTTATCAAGAGGAGTTTCTGCATCTACAACAAAAGTCTTCACAAGAAATGTGGTGTATAAAGATATTTTGCTTCCCTCGAATTCAACATAAGGTTATATTCTTTCTTTTAATGTTTAATTCCCTTTTTCAACTTTTAATGTAATTCAATTACAAATAATGCTAATATTTGATTTTAACCAAACGCATTAAATTTTCAACAGGACGGAACGATATGAGCTCATGATATGTTTTGTTGTCAAGTGTATCAAGGTCAATTGAAGTTCTTGGATTGTTTTTATACTCTTTATTTATCTTTTAGTTGCAACTAAATTATAAGGATCTTCTCTGTTATTTATTACTTTTTTTTTACATATTCTAGATAAAATACTTTAAATTCTTGCCTATATTATTAGAGATGATGATCGCCTTTATTTTATGTTTCTATACATTGAACCAATCCTCGCATATAAATACATCTAAAAAGAATTTGATCCCTTTTCATATGGAAGTATACTGTAAAAATGAAATTTATGAATTGCACACTAACCATTCCATATTTTTTTTGCTTGCTGATTATTATGGTATGAACAACATGAAGGTTGGACCCAATAAGTGAAATTAAAGGAAAAACACAAAATGGAGAACATAATAAATCTCTCTCCCTCTCTCTCTCATGCAAAATGTCAAATATCTACACAACCTACATATACATTTTTCATAAATTTCATTTTTTCTGTACAATGGGCGGGTGCAAAAAATACTAAGTTAGATGATTGAAAATAATAAGAAATTGTTGTGATGGACACACACCCACAATTTATAAAATAATCACTTAAGAAATATAATAATATCTAAAACAACACATCTTTGGGGCGCGTAGCGCCCGTGATGCAAAAATGCCTCTTGCATGCACGTTAGTGCGTGCAAAGAAGCTAGTATTTCTAATGTAGGACATTCGACTTATTCTGAAGGAAAAAGTGACCAAACAGATGAATTTTGGAGTAGTTCCAATTGGAGGATGTTTGCGAATCTTTCAAGATGATTGTATCAAAGTTTCATTTTTTTCTACTTAGCCATTTGACCGTGGTGATGAAATAAATGCCCAGCATGCAGCTTTCCCAAATTGACGTTTTTGGACGTTTTGGGTATTTTGGAGGTCAAGAGGGCATATTTTGAGGAAGATTCATTCTGAGGATTTGTAGGGGACGACTTTCGCTTTCAAAAGAGACCTTTTGGGACCAAATCGTCAAAAGTCTGATTTTCTAAGAAGTCGGAATTTTAGTTCAAATAGGAAACTTTTTTATTTTCTGTTTTATTATTTAATTATGTTTCCTAGTTTTACTCTTAAGACTTTTTAGGGTTTTATTTTGTATTAGTATAAATAAGATATTTAGCCATTGGAGGGGAAAAAAAACATATGCACACTTTAGAGAGCTTTTGGATTCAAGTTTATTTTCAAGGTGTTTTCGATCCTTGTTTTTAATAATATTTTGTTTATGGTCGTTAGTAACTAAATTCGGTTTACTAGGGTAAGGCCACAAGCCTTAGCAAGAATATGTAGTTTCTTTACAATTTGTTTATGATATTATCCTTGCAGGTTTGAATTATTAATCAACGATTTAAACTATCTACTTATCTTAATGCTTAGCTATCATTAGGATTTTTAGAAAAGTAATTTGATGCAATTTTGGTCGGTGGTCGGTCCCTGAAATTGACGAAGGCTTCTTGTGGTTAATATGAATACCACATCTTAAGGGTTGTATGGTTTGTCAAAAGTTTTCACAAAACTTAATGAGTCATACATATTTAGATTTAATCTGAATACCACAGATGAGTTGCATATTTGATATACGCTCTATGTTGGAGGTCCAAGTAGACATATTTTAGGAAAGCCTAACCTTCAAAACATGCATGTGTAATTCACAAGTAATTGAAAGAACTATATAGGATTGTTATGGTGACGGCGGAACCCTAGGCTTTTACAATTTAATTTTCAAAAACTGTTTGAAAGTATGTCCCCCAAAGAGCTACTGTCACTAACCCTAAAATATATGTCCCCCAAAGAGCTACTGTCACTAACCCTAAAATCGATCCCGGCTGCATTAAGCTCTTGTACATTGCGAAAAGATTGCATGGAGTCTTCTGTAGCTTGCTTATTGGAATTTTTTGGTGGACTAGCATTCTTATTCGGAGAAGGTCAAGACGATGAGTGAGAAAAGATTGTACGGAGTGGTCTTTATATCGATTATCGGAATTTTTTTCTGTACCTAGCATTTTTGTTCGGAGAAGGTCAAGAAGATGAGCGGGCTCTTTTTCCATGGTTATTGCTACGTTTGGTTGCTTCTGTTCCGGCTCTTTTGAGTGCTTCTTTCCAGGTGCACCAATGTTCGCCTGAACGTAAGTCTCGATCGAGTTCTTCAACTCCCCGCGTTTGTTGCTTGAGCTCATCAACAGCTCGAGGACTTGATAAGGGACTTGGTTCTCTAGCAAGAACAAGTCCTGCTGTGCAAAGGCTATCTGGTCCCTTTTGATCGACAATTCTTCCAACTCTTCATCCACAAAGGACTGTATGAATTGTAAGGTTGAACACCCATCTAAGAACAACATCCAAGCGAGGGCCTCATCATCATAGCGCTGTGTCGCTTCCTCAGTGTAACAGTCCTTTAGTTCTTTGATCCTCTTCTCAATCTTATGATGCACATCTTCAGCTTTTTGCTCAGTGTAATCAAGAAATCTTTTTGTCAACATAAGCTTGAAGTCCTCTGCCAGCTCGCACCTTGGATTGCCATGATGGAAAGGGCCTATTGCTACGGCCCTCGGCTCGTAAAACTTCTCGAAAGTTTTGGGATTGCGGAGCATGAAGGGAACCTTTTGGATCTTTGGTTTTGAGCTATGTTTTGGAGCTTCTGGTGCTTCCCTCAGTTTTTTGAATCTCACCTCCATAGAACTGGTTCTAACCTCCCCCATGGAAACTATGCTTTCTCTCAGGCTATTTTACCAGGTACCCTTCTAAACAACTCTGGCTGTTTTGAATACTTATGTTAGTTTCTGCATTTTATAGTATATGTTTACTTTAGAATCTCAGCTTTAACAAATAATATAGGTTCTAAAGCATTTGCTCAGAGATATTTGGTTCTGAACTTTGCTGAGCAACTAGTGCAGGTAATGACTTAATCTACATGGAGAGGAGTTACATACTCCGGCACACTGATCTGGCATTTCAGACCAATAACGCAATGTCATGTGTCTTAGTTTTACCGGATGACATTACGTTATTGGCATGAGATGTTACGGTGGCAACTTACGAAGAGAAATTTAGAATGGTTCATGGAAGTTTTTTTTACACAGTACGAGAAAAAACTTTGGATTATACTTTAACTTCATTGCGAAGTTTAGCATATAGAACGACCTTATCTGTGGAAATAACTTTGAACTATGACTTGAACTTCTTTGCAAGTTTAGTATATAGAAGGATCTTATCTGTGGAAAAACTAAAGCTTTGGGAGACGAAAAAGTTGATGCTTGCAACTTTATTCTCGTACACTAGCATGTTTGGTACAAACACTGCAAAAGAACAGCTGGTTGCCATGTTTCTTCGACTTACCCAAGTCAAGACTCCACATGGAGAGCATTTTGTACGGAGCAGGTTCATCGTGGCGTAGTATTCTGGTATAATAAATTCAAGTTACATAGAGATAAAGAGAAACTTACATATCACATGATATTACACCACAACGGTGTAAACCTGTCGTAGATAAATCATTCTCTTTTATATAAAGCATAATCTTAATTTACCTACAAAAAAAAAAAAATTAAGAAGAAAAGAAAAGAACGACATTGTATGGAAAGAAAAAAAAATTAAAAACAACTCAAATTATAATTGTTTTTAGTGTAAATTATACTTTACTATTTTAGATTTGAGATCTATTGTAACTTTATACAACATCTTCAAAATATTTCACGTATTATTTTATTTCAATATAATACATATGTTACATTTTTCATTTATTGTTTTGTAAAAAATTGACGTGAGAACCACATTTGTACCACGTGGCTGCCAACGTGACAAAAATAATAATTTTTTAAACATTAAAAAATAATTCATTAAAGAAAAGTATAAAAACAAAAAAAAAAAAAACACAGAAACCCATCCCTTCCCCGCAACCCCCTACCCCTCTCCTCCACTCTGTTCACCTTCCCCAACCGATCCGTCACCAAACCCATTTCGTCCCTCTCGCCGTCCTCCACCATCAACTTGCCTCCGTTGCCTCCCCTCCCATCCAAAAAATCCACCCACAACCGAGCCCAACCCAATCCCCTTCCACGCTGAGAACCTCGCCGCTTTTCTCCTTCTTCATCAAAATCCCACTCCCCCTAATCTCCCGAACGTACCGCTGTTTCTTCCGCCCAATTCTCCGCTTCCCTAAATCTAAACCGACCCCAATTTGTACCAGCACCAGCAGCTTCTCCATGGACAAAAGACTCGACCTTTTCACTCTGGCTCCCTCTAACGACTCTCCGTCCCCGTCGTCTCCGGCGGTTTCCAACAAAGCCAAAAGGAAAGCGCAGCGGGAGTCGCCCAAGGGTGTCCTGAAGCACTAGCTAGACATGTGTTCTAGGCACGGGCAGCTAATCCAAGCTCTGAGCCTTTTTGACGAGGTCAGGAGCAATGGGGTGCCGCTTGGCTTGCACCATTACAATGTTTTGCTATACCTTTGCTCCTCCAATGGCGGCGGTGATGACTGTGATGTGGGTTTGAAGAGGGGGTTTGAGATTTTTCGCCAAATGGTTGAGGGCGAGGCTGGCGATCACAGCGGAGGATTGAGATGGGAAGCAACGGGTGATGGGGATGGGAGAAGGGTTGAGATTGGGTGGGAAGACGATGGGGATTCCTGAGTCTTTTACTTTTATTTTTATTATTTTTTTAATTAATTATTTTAATATTTTTAATTTTTTTTATTGTGTGGTAGACACGTCAGCACAAATGTGGCAGACACGTCAGTACAAATGTGGCAGACACGTCAGCACAAATGAGACCTTATATTTGCCACATCATCATTTATCGGTTTACTTAACGGATTTTCTAATAGATGTATGAAATTGAAATAAAATTATAAGTAAATGTATGAAATTGAAATGTTTTAAAGATGCTGTAAGAAGTTGATATCGACCCAAAACTTGAGGGGATAAAATGTAATTCACCATTTTTAGGGTAAATTATACTTTACCATATTAAGTTTGAGATCTATTGCAACCTCATACATCTTCAAAACATTTTTGTGTCAATAAACACGTTTTCCACATTTCTTTCATCATCCTTCTTGCACCATTCTTCATTGCTTTTCTTTCTTCCTCGATTTCTAGCAGCTACATGGCATGACATTGAGGGTGAGTGAGTGATAACATGACAGTTAAGTGAATGATAATATGATATGTTTGTAAACTCAACTCAATAATGAGAGAGACAGATTTCATTAACATTTACAAGAAATAAAAGCGGACTAAACAGACTAGGACTAGGACTTGTCTTCTCCAGGTGTGTCCTCTGTGTTGTCCTTGTTAGAATAGGATTGTGGCTCATCAGAAACAATAAGAACTGATGTTGGTTTATCACTCCTTAGCAAACAATGCAACCTTGGACGGGAAGTTTGGACAGCAAGAAGGCAAAGCGAACAACAAACAACCCTCTGGTTAGAGATCAGCCAACTGCTATGCCATGTAAATCAACAAGTAGATAACCACAGAGCCATCAAAGAAGGTGAACAATGATGAATCAGCATGGGACGAGATGAAGCCCAAGTTTTCTATATGTTGAGAAAAACACTGAAACCAAGGACGAAGAGATTGTTTAAGACCATACAGAAACCGATGAAGTTGACAGAAATGTGAGGGACATTGGGGGTCAATGAAACCTTAGGCTTGCCGTATATATACTTCTTCATTCAAAAAGCCATGGAGGAACGCATTTTGTACATCAAGTTACTGACCAATTGAAGTGAATGCAATGGAAATAATTAACCTGATAATTGCATGATTAATGACAGAACTAAACGTTTCACCGTAGTCCAATCCTTCTTGTTGATCCAACCAATTAGCCACTAACCGTGCATTATAGTGCTTAATTGATCCATCAGAACGCTGATTGAATTGTAAACCCATTAATTTGGAAAAATATTCATATTGGTGCGAAAGGGAACCAAAGTCCAAGTGCCATTCCTTTGCAAGGCATTAAACTCGTCAGCCATAACGGTGTGCCATTCTGAAACTTTATTAGCCTGACTAAAACATGTAGGCTCAACCAAGTAGTGATCAATAGTAGTGGCAAAAACATATGTTGAATTAGATTTACAAAGTAGTACTTACCTTGAGAGTATATGAAACCGGTGCCGAGGAGGGTGCATTTGGCGGCATGGTTGAGGGAAGGACGTATCATGAGTGGTAAGGGTCAAATAATGTGGCTGGGTTGTAAGGATAGGAGATGTTGTCTTGGGTCTGCGGGTATAAACTAGTAGGTGGTGCTACTGCTAGGTGGCAGGGAAATTAGGAGGCTCGACTAGGACATAAGGAGGCTGGGGCAGTGCAGCTGGTTGTGGGAAGGATGCAGGGGCGAGAACGGCTTGGGTTGTAGGTCAATTTCAAGGACGGGACCCACATACGAGGAGAGTGACGATGACGAAGTAACAATGGATTCTTGATATGGAAACCTGTGTTCATCAAACATAACATGCCGTTTGTGCAAGAATATTACTAGATTGGTGACCTTATAGGAAGTCCTCATGTTGCATTCTCCCAAAAGAAAAAAAAAAAAAAAAAAAAAAAAAGGAAAAAAAAAAAAACACAACATGCCGAGAAAGAAAAACACGTTTCGTAGAGGGATCTAAACAGCTATAACCATGGTGATTTAATGAATATCCTAAGAACACACAATGTTTGGAACGAAATTATAACTTCTTATTATGATTATTATATGGAAGCAAATAGGGATAACATGCACAACCAAAGGCCTTAAAAATACATATGTTGAGGAGTTTTAAGAAATAATATATTTTTCATACGGGAAAATATGTTGTAAAATTTGAGTAGGCAACCAATTAATTATATAATTTGAAGTGTGAAACACTTTAGCCCAATAAGAAGTGGGCAAATCTGACTGAGCTAAGAGAGTAAGTCCAGTTTCAACTAAGTGTAGATGTTTACGTTCGATTAAACCATTTTGTTCAAGGTGATAGGGACATGAGAGACGATGTAAGATGCCATGTTCATTACAAAATTTCGAAAAGAAAGATTAACAAATTCCTCACCCCCATCCATTTGAAAGGCCTTAATTAACATTAGACATGTTTTCAACCAAATTTTTGAAAGTAACAAAGGTCGAGAAAACATCAGACTTTAAACGTAATGGACAAAACCATGTATAATGAGATAAATCATTCACAAACACGACATAATACTTAAAACTAGAAACAGACAGAGATGGTGAAGACCAATCATCATAATAAATTAATTCCAAAGGAGAAGAAGATGTAGAAGTAGATAAAGAAAATGGTAATTTAGGACTTTTACCTAAGGGACAATATTGACAAAATTGACTAGAAAATGAACCTTGAATTGTCAATTTATTTGCAGAAATTAAATGTTTTAAAATTGAAAAGGAAGGATATCCTAGTCTAGAATGCCACAAAGCATCAATTACACGTTCATCTAAGAAACCAAAAACAATGAGATGGATGAGAGGGACATCATGGGTAGAGTCTATTGTTACTCTGACCTTGTAAAAGGGTCTTCACCGTCCATGAATCCTGCACATGATAAAACTTGGGATGTAAGGTAAAGAAACAATTATTATCATCAGAATAGCCGTTCAAGGAGATGACATTAGTAGAGGCTTGAGTACAATAACAAGTATTAGGCAAACGAAGGGAAACATATTTAGTTTGAAGATACGAATCAACTATTTTGGATATTTGCAAACCTAGACCACCATGCACACCACGAATTTGGTCGGTTCCATGACACTCAAGAAGATTTTAGGGTTGTGCCATGTCATTGGTTATGTGAGAATT